AGTACTGCCCGACGGCGCCCAAGAAGACGAAGAACGACAAGGAGAAGCCCGGAAATGGGAAAAGTCAGTAGCAGACGGGCCCCTACTGACGAGGCTTTGTCGCCCGAACTTCAACGTTCCCACCAAGTTGTGGTACCGATACACGCTATCGACCGCACTCGACGAATAACGGGAGCGAACCTGAAGATCACCCTGTGCTGGTTGAAGGCAAGGTTAATGGCAAAAAAAATAAAAATATTTGTGGATGGCGGAGCTAGTCACAGTCTCATCCACGTAACAACGGCGAAAGCAGTTGAAGCTGGCGTTGGAAAAAATGTCTTCCCGAAATCGACGCGAGACTGGTGGACGGAACTCCACTTGCAATTCGAGAACGGAGCGCGCATGGTGGCGGATGAAGTGTGGCGACTACTTCGGGTTCAGCATGCCCATGCTGGCCACGACGCTGGAACGGCTGCGACATTCTGCTTGGGCGTGATTGGCTGCGAAAATACAACCCGAGGATCGACTGGACAACTGGCGAATGGCAGCGTAAAACTGTGCGAACGGGTGGAACGTACTTCCATGCTGGCGGGGAAGGGAATCCGGTGTCGACATGTGTCAACGCCATCACCCCTCCAGCGAGCAGTTAAAAGGGGAAGCTGATTTGTACGCCGTCCACCTGGCCGAAGCGACGGTCAACAACACGCCAAAGGACATCGACACTCTTTGTGCCAATGTTCCTGCCGAGCTCGCCGCGCTGATTCGACAGTACCCGGATATTTTTCCGGATGACCTGCCAGCAGGGTTTGCCACCTGAGCGACCACAGGACCACAAAATTGACCTGGAACCCGGCGCGCAGCCTACAGTCAGGACCCAGTGGCGGCTGACTCAGCCCGAACTCACGGAGTTGCGAAGCCAGCTGGGACTACCTTTTGGAAAAAGGTTTTCATCCGGCCCAGCACGTCCCCGTTCGCAGCGCCTATCCTGTTCACGCCGAAGAAAGACGGGGGGCTGCGAATGTGCATCGACTACAGGGCGCTGAACCGACGAACCATAAAGTCTCGTTACCCAATCCCACGCGCCGACGATCTTCTCGATCAACTTCGCGGAGCTCGCTTCTTCTCGAAAATCGACTTGCGCGGCGGTTACCATCAGATCAGAGTCTTCGCTGACGACTGCCACAAGACGGCGTTCCGCACCCGGTATGGCAGCTACGAGTACACCGTAATGCCGTTTGGCCTCACGAACGCGCCCTCCACTTTCCAACTTACCATGAATGGCGTATTCCGCGACCTCCTCGACAAGTGTGTCATTGTCTACCTTGATGACATCCTCATCTACAGCAAGACACAAGAACAGCACCTCAAGGACCTTGAGAAAGTCTTCTAGCGGCTGCAAGAACACCGCCTCATCACGAAGGGCTCTAAGTGCGAGTTCCTAAAATCCGAACTGGAATTTTTGGGACATGTCGTGGGAGCAGACGGCATTAAAATCGACCCGAAGAAAATCACCACGATTCGCGACTGGAAGCCGCCGGCGAATTTACAGGAGCTGCAGAGTTTTCTCGGGTTCGTTAATTACGTCAGGCGGTTTATCCCCAATATGGCAGGGATCGGGGACCGTTAACTGACCTGCTGCGGAAGGGCACTTTGTTTGAGTGGGGGGAGAGACAGCAGACTGCTTTCGATGAACTGCGAAAATTTCTGACGTCGCCCCCGGTCCTCCGAATCGCTGACCCATCTCGACCGTTCGAAGTCTTGACGGACGCTAGCGATTTCGCCATCGGAGCGATACTGTTACAAGATTTCGGCGACGGACTCCAACCCATCGCGTATGAGTCCCGGAAGTTGCAGGCAGCCGAGCGCAACTACCTCGTCCACGACAAAGAAATGCTCGCCATCGTGCACGCATTCAAAGTGTGGCGATGCTACCTGACGGGAGCCGACGTGACAGTACGGACAGACCATAAATCCCTACAGTACCTCCGCGCGCAGCCGAACCTCAACCCACGACAGATTCGCTGGCTGGACTTCCTCGAAAGCAACTTCCACTACACCATCACATACAAACGTGGGGCGAATAACATCGCCGACGCACTGACACGACCGTCCGCCCATCTCGCCTCCGTCATCATCACAAAATCAAACCCACTGCTCACCGGACTATTTACCCATGGCTACAACACCGACCCCTTTTTCACCCGCAACCTCCACCACCAAGCCACCATAGCCGAGGGACCCTACTTCCTCAAAGCCGGTACTGATCGTATCTGGGTTCCCGCCTACAGACTCCTCCGCGAATTACTTATTCAAGAAGTCCACGATTCTAACCTCTCCGGTCATTTCGGGGTTGACAAAACCCAGAAGTTACTTCACCGTTTTTATTATTGGCCTGATTCAGCGTCTGATGTGGAGAGATACGTATCTGCGTGCCCGATCTGCCAACGCATGAAGTCTTCTCGACAGTGACCAGCTGGCCTGCTGCAACCACTCGAGCCACCCCAGCGACCGTGGCAACATGTGACGATGGACTTCGTCACAGGGCTCCCGGCAGCAGCCACGGGCAACGACGCCGTGCTGGTCGTCGTCGATCGACTGACGAAGATGGCACATTTCGCACCCTGTCGTACAACAATCACAGCCGAAGACACCGCGAAGCTTTTCATCTCCACCGTTGTCCGCCTGCACGGCCTACCCTCAGCGATCATCAGCGACCGCGACCCCAAATTCACGTCGAAGTTCTGGCAGGAGACATGGGCCCAGTACGGCACACGCCTCCAATTCTCCTCCGCCTACCACCCTCAAACCGACGGGCAAACTGAAAGGACCAATCAGACCATGGAGCAGCTCATACGCACCAACTGCCCCGATCCTGCCCGGTGGGAAGAATTTCTGCCCATGCTGGAACTTTCCTACAACAATGCCCCATCTGCGACGACCACTCATTCGCCGTTTTTCCTAAACTACGGGATGGATCCGACCGTCCCGATGACTACCTACATCGACAACCCCGTGCCACGCTCCCAGCAGTTCGTAACCAGTTTGCAAGCTGCCCGGGATAAAGCGGTCGAATTCATTCGCAAGGCCAACACAACTGCTCGACGCTATACAGATCTTCATCGCCGCGATATCACGATGACTGCTGGGCGACTAGTCCTGCTCGACACGAAGAACCTTCGATTGCCCCTGCCGTCAAAACTCCGCCCGCGATTTTGTGGCCCTTTTCGTATCGTCAAGATGGTGACACCCGTCACAGCGAAGTTATTACTCCCGGACGAGTGGCGCATTCACGACGCTTTCCACGTCAGCCTCCTTCGTCCTTACGTTGCCAGCACGTCTGCAGTCGCACGACCAGCAGCCGCCCCAAGTGTTCGCCCACTGGCTGAACCCACGCTTGAGCCTTTCCGACTTTTAAGTCATCGCGTTCGCCTCGACTCGACAGGACGACACGTGGATTTTCTTGTCCGTTGGGCCGACCGTACAAGCGAAGACGACACATGGGTCCCTTCCGACTCGATTCAGGAACACTCGGTGCTCAAAGCTTATTTGACCCGAAAACGCGTTCCCGATATTGATCACCTTCCATAAGGGGAGGGGGGGGGGGGGGGGGGGTAGTGTAAGGAATTTTATTCCTTACCGGGTTGTACTGCAATCGCGTACACCCGAACTCTCGGAACACCAGGCTCGGTCCGTTTCCGACGCGACCCCGAGGCACGCGCGCGCCGCCTCCGAACCTTTCGACCGCGCCTGTACCCAACCTAGCCTTCCGGCTTCGTCGCCTAGCTAGAACTCTCGCTATATAATGCTAGGCTAGCATTCTTGTACTCGTCATTATTATTCCGCGCACTCTCAGTTATTATTCATAACACACAGACTGAACAAGCTTTTCTATGAGGCATACAGCAGCCTGAAGTGTCGGTCTCACGCCGTACGTTATCGTCTGGTAAACGAGATGAGTGAATTACATAATTATTTAGCGGATTAACTCGTGTATTCTCATTATCGCGAAGCTGGCTGTCGTCTCAATACAAACGCGTATACTCGCCACCCTATCCATCCACACCTGACACATGTTTGCCGCCAACAGAGAGCGTCTGCCTCTTGTGTGTCAGGGCTAGCGCAAGTTTTATCTGCCCAATTGTCACCCCTGTCAGCTGCAGAACTGGTACAGTTGAATTTTATATTCGCGGTGTACATTGCACACAGAAGGACTGGGGGAGAAACGGACTTGAGCATGTTCAGGTGATTGTTTTCAAGCTGGTTGTCCCAGGTTTGCTGTTCGGAGCCGCACCTAAACGGTTCGACGTATTACGTTTCGGTTAGCATTTTAGCGTTTGAAGTGATACAGGTTTGAGCTTGGGTGACCATCAGCAAAGACTCAATCAAACGCTCCAAGATTTCAGGGATCCGGCTCGCGTGGCGAGCCGCCATCTTTCATGAGATTGTTCCCCCACACTACACCCAAAGCCAACCTACCACCCACAACATAACACGTACGAATTTGCCTTCGGAGGCATGCTCGCCAACATCCGACCGCCCTCACTTTCAAATATAAGTGAAATTCAAGGGTGAATCGAGACGAGAATGGCCCTTTGGTGGCAAATCACTTCGGGCAACCGCAATCAGAAGCGATTTCAAATTCCGAAAGACGCGACGGTGGTGTCAACTTATTCTGGACTGGAAACAAGCATTCAGAGATACATTGAACTCACAATTAGTTGAAATGCCAGGGTAAGTATAGAAGTAAAATCAGTTTACCACCTCGCCTCCACTCCGACCCACTGTTCTGTACTCGTCGTAAATCAAGTCCTCCAGCCCAGACCAGACCAGACCAGATGAATCAAGCCTTTCACCGGATTGGATTGGACCTCTGCACAACACATCAAGCTAGGTCTAGATTCCAGTACTCCGTAGATAACATTCTTCCTGTCGATCAGCTCCGCAAAACACAAGCAACGGCCATAACCGATCGCTATCACCTGAGAGTCGCACGTCTTCAACACCCCCCCCCCCCTCACCGAGTTGCGCGCTCCTCGTCGACGGAACTCCAGGCAAAAAAAACTGGCCAATCATCTCCCTCCCACTTTTTTTCTTTCCCTGCCCTAACTCTTTCTTTTCCCGCCACTCTTTCTCTCGTCCATTCCCATTCCGAACGACGGCACGCGTCCACGCGCCGTACTCAACGCGTCCACAAGATGAACAACCTAATGACGCAGTCGTGGGTCATCGACAAAAACACCGGATTCACGCGCCTCGCCACGGCGGCGGACATCGAGCAGGGCCGAATGGCGGGCCTCGGCGGGCCAGCGGGAGCGGCGCCGCCGGCGGCGGACGAGGAGGAGGAAGAGGAGAAAGGCCCCGGAATGGACCTGACGGAATTCGACGCGAAAGTCGCAGAAGTTCGCAAGGACATGGAGAGCATCGCGACGGCGATTAGTTCGCTAGCGAGCTTGCACCAGGAGGCGAAAGCCGCGGTGCGGTCGGCGTCCGTTGTCGCGTTGCACAAGCGGATGGACGACGACGTGGGCACGATCTCGCGGCTCGCCAAGGCGATTCGGCAGAGGATCGAAGGGATACAGGAGGAGAACGAGGCGAACAGGAAGTACCCCAGATGCGGCGCAGGCTCGGCGACGGACCGGCACCGAACCTCCGTGACGATGACGCTCGGCAAGAAGCTCAAGGATCTGATGGGCGAGTTCATGGATCTGAGGAATCGCATGGCGGAGGATCACAGATCGACGGTGGAGCGGCGAGTGTACATCGTGACAGGGGAGAAGCTGCCCGACGAGGACGTGGACCGGATCATCGAGACCGGGCAGAGCGAAAACTTTATCCAGGCGGCGATTTCGGCGCAGGGGCAGAGCGCGGCGATGGAAGACGTGGTCGCGGAGATTCAAGAGCGGCACAATGCGGTGATGGACATCACGCAGCAGCTGCAGGAGCTGCACCAGATGTTCCTCGACATGGCGACGATGGTCGAGGCGCAGGGCGAGATGCTGGACAGTATCGAGTCGCACGTCGGCGAGGCGGTGGAGCAAACGTCGACGGCGAAGCAGCAGCTGCAGACGGCGGTGGTCATCCAGCAGAACACGCGCAAGTGGTATATCATCGGCGGCGTCGCGTTCCTGGTGATTCTGCTCATTATAATCATCCCTTAGTCTCGTCCGCGATGAAGTGAGGGGATCCGGTTGGGCAGCCGCCGAGCCGCGCGCAAGTCGCTGGTTCTTCGTAGGCATCCTAGGCATTCTATAGTGACGGCAGTGGGGTCCTTGTGGAAGCGGTGTCGGTTAGACATGTTGCGGTGGACGGCTGTGATGACTCGGACGTGGGGCGACTAATCTCGTCCGTTGGATGGAGTGGAAGTGCTCGATCGATAGCTGGGTGGGGAGCTCCCATGTAGGCCGGTCCAGCTGTAGAACCGATCGACCGATGAACCGGCCGGCCGACAGGCACTTTTGCGGCGTGGATAAGGTGGGTCGCTGGTTGGAATTGGGGGGCAAGATGGGGAAAGGGGGAAAAAGAGAACGGGCGCTCTGGGAGGCAAGAGGGGGAGAAATGAGCTGGTTCAGTTTCAAGAGAGCTTGAGACGGAAAACAAAACAGAAAAAAAAAAAAAAAAAAAAAAAAAAAAAACAAGGAAACCAAAGCTGCTGCTGATTGGTGGGGATTCAAGAATTATTGTATTTCATGCGGAGGTGAAGGAGTGGGGGCGGGGGAGGCGGAAGCAGATAGGGTGGCGGGGAACGGCTCGGGGAGAAGGTTGGAGGGGGGGGAGGGTTTGGGGCGTGGAGGCAGCGGGGCGATGGAGAGTTGCGGAGGTAAATCTGGGGGAAGGTGTTGCGCCGTGGAGGGCAAATCCGCCTGGTAGATCCGGCGCTGAAGAAAATGGGTGCCACCTTTTCCTGCATCCCCCTCCGCACTTTCACTCCCAGAACCTCTCGTTCCCCAATTTTAACTTCCAGTCTTCTGTTACCATATTTTTATTTTTATTCTGCATTCATACAGTATACTGTGCTGTTCATTAATATGGGAATGGAACCAGCAGAGGCACTGCATCACAACAGAGTGGCTAAAGGGGTCATTTGGGGTGTGATTATGGCATGAGAGCGAGGCTGGGAAATTGCAAGGCAAGCATGGAATGGGTGTGATGGCTGGGGCATGTGAAATCCTCATCCACCTGGGCATGGAAGACGGCGGTTGGGGCCGATGGCATTTGAGGAGGAGCTGCCAGAAATATAGGCAGTTCGGACAGACCTGACTGCAATTTATGGCATGCAGAAATGAGGGAGGGATGGGTGGATCTGGACATGGCCTTCGTCATGAGGTCTGCCCACCTGGTCAGTGTTTTGAGAACTGGGTTTGTTTGGGCGCGGTTGCTTCGTATGGCATGGCATTTGGTGTATGGGGAATCCCGGGGTGTATGGGCAGCATGGGTTGTTTGGGCAATTTTATGGGATTGTTAGGGCATCGTCATGGGTTTTTGGGCAATGCCATGTGTTTGCTTGGGAATTTGTTCTCATGGGTTGCTTGGGCAATGTTCTGGGGTTATCCTCGTGGATTTGTGGGCAATGCCATGTGATTGCTTGGGAAATCGCATGGGTTGCTTGGGCAATGTTATGGGGTTATGATCTGCGTCATGGGTTTGTATGGGCATTGCCATGGACAAAATTGTTTGGGCGGTGCCATGTGATTTTATGGGCAGTGGCATGGGATGGGATTGTTTGTGTCATGGGAATGCATGGGCAACTACGCTGTACCTCATTTGCAATGCCATTGGGTTCACTGGGCAAGTTCATGTATGCCTGGGCATTGGGCAAGTATCACGGGATATGCCATGACGGTGGTGTGTGATGGAATGGGCTTCATGCAACACTGTGGACTTGCATTGGGTGGGTAGTCATTGATCATGGCCTCTGCATGGACGATTTTTAAGTTGGCTTGTGGAAGTCGTGGGATGCAAAGTTTGATACGGTACGGTAAAGTTTGATATGGTTGTGTGGAGCTGCGAAGGAAGAGAGAAATGGGTATGATGTGACAATCACGTAAATTGAGAAAGCTTGCTTTCTTGTCCTTAGCAATAGGCATCGTTCTCATTTCAAGTGGGCTAGGTACAATAGTTGCTTACTAGCTTACAAGGATCTAAAACATGCACACATCATGATCCTAGTTGTGTGCTCGCGTTAAAGTGACCGGCTGTCAATTGGAGATGCGCGGTTGTCTAGAGGGGTGGGTGGGAGGGTGGGAAAGTTGATTGAGCCGTTTGAAAAATGAGAGACGTGGTTGGAGGTACCGTAATCCCCCGGATATAGACGCATATGTGCTTATAGGGATTAGGTTCAAAAAGCAGCATGCGCTTGTAATCGAATAAAAAATATAAGCCCATGCGCTAATACAAAGGACTATATGGAAAAATGATTTGAACACACCAAAATGTAGCTGAATCAATTTGGGTTCCACTACAACTGTCTTCAAAAGGGGACGCGCAGAAATATCGCACGTCATCTCTGGCGAAAGTTTCGCCAACACAATTATGCCGAGAAGGCAGGGTATGGACCAATTGTCAAACATGTGTATTTGTCATGTTTGTATAGACTGTATAGAGTCACCTCTTAGAGGATACAAAACTTAGATATATTTGTGTGTACTCTCACTTTACAATCATCCAATTATTCTGATATGGTATCACGCGTAGGTAGGACCCCCCCCCCCCCCCCACCCACCGCTTCCGCTCATGCCCCCTAGCGCCCCTCCTGGGCCCCGTCGCGCTCCTCCCAGGCCCCGTCGCGCTCCTCCCAGGCCCCGTCGCGCCCCTCCTGGGCTTCGTAGCGCCCCTGCCAGGGCCCCGTCGCGCCCCTCCCAGGCCCCGTCGCGCTCCTCCCAGGCCCACTAGCGCCCCTCCTGGGCCCCGTCGCGCTCCTCCCAGGTCCCGTAGCGCCCCGTCGCGCCCCTCCTGGGCCCCCCGTAGCGCCCCTCCTGGGCCTCGTCGCGCCCCTCCTGGGCTCGTAGCGCCCCTCCTGGGCCCTGTACCGCCCTCCCAGGCCCCGTCGCGCCCCTCCCAGGCCCAGTCGCGCCCCTCCCAGGCCCTCTAGCGCCCCCCCTGGGCCCCGTCGCGCTCCTCCCAGGCCCCGTAGCGCCCCGTCGCGCCCCTCCTGGGCCCCGTAGCGCCCCTCCTGGGCCTCGTCGCGCCCTCCTGGGCTTCGTAGCGCCCCTCCTGGGCCCTGTAACGCCCTCCCAGGCCCCGTCGCGCACCTCCAGGCCCCCTAGCGCCTCTCCTGGGCCCCGTCGCGCTCCTCCCAGGCCTCGTAGCGCCCCTCCTGGGCTCTGTCGCGCCCCTCCTGGCCCCGTCGCGCTCCTTCCACGCCCCGTAGCGCCCCTCCTGGGCTCTATCGCGCCCCTCCTGGGCTCCGTAGCGCCCCTCCTGGGCCCCGTCGCGCCCTCCTTGGGCCCTGTAGCGCCCTCCGGCCCGTGCGCTCCAGCCCGTCGCGCCCCTCCCAGCCCGGGCCCCGTCGCGCCGGCCCGCCCCGGCGCCGTCGCCGCCGCCCGGCCCCGTCGCGCCCCCGCCCCGGCGCCGTCGCACCCTGCCCGGCCCCGTCGCGCCGCCCGGCCCCGTCGCACCCGCCCGGCCCCGTCGCACCCTGCCCGGCCTCGTCGCAGCCGCCCGGCCCCGTCGCACCAGCCCGGCCGCCGTCCCGCTCGCCCGGCCCCGTCGCACCAGCCCGGCCCTACCGCACTCGCCCGGCCCCGTCGCCCCAGCCCGGCCCCGTCGCGCCCGCTCGGCCCCGTCGCCCCGTCCCGGCCCTGTCGCACCAGCCCGGCCCCGTCGCGCCCGCCCGGCCCCGTCGGGCCAGCCCCGGCCCCGTCCTCCTCACTGGTACGGTTCCCCCCCCCCCCCCCCCACCCCGCCCTGCTCCGTCCCGCCCTGCACCGCACTGCACCGCACTTCACCGCACTATACCGCACTGCACCGCACTGTACCGCACAGTACCGCGCTGCACCGCACTGCAACGCACTGTATCGCACAGTACCGCACTGCACCGCACTGTATCGCACTGCACCGCACCCCACCTAGCTGCTCCGCCCTGCACAGCACTGGACTGTTCCTGATGGCGGCGGAGCTTCGCTTCGACGCTGAAGGTCAGCCCCTAGAGTTCGAGGCGTGGCTTGCCGACCTCCGCCGCCAACTCACTGGCCAGCGGCAGGATGGTGAACCGCTTTCTGCACACCTTGACGGTACGCTCCCCTGCCCAGACCCCCCTGCTATTCTGCCTGCTGACCCCACACCCACTGAGCGTGAGTCTACTGCTGCCACTGCCCGTGCGCGCTCTGTCTGGCTTTCTCGCGATGCTGTCGCCCAGCTTGCCATTAGCAACGCCCTCCCCCCGTCCGAGCGTCCTCGCTTTAGGTCCCTCACTACTGCTCAGGCATACTTAGATGCTGTCATCAAGCGCTATTCCACCCCTCCGGCTGCCTCGGTGGGTCGCCTGATCCTCCCGCTACTCTTTCCTGACCTTGCTTCGTTCCCCACTGTCTCTGACCTCGCTGCCCACCTGCGCTCGATAGAGGAGACCTGGCGCGCCGCCTGCACTGACGCACAGCTTAGAGCCCACCAGCCGCCCATTACCTCTACCCTCTACCTGCTTGCCACCCGCCTCCCTGACCGCCTTGCTGTCGCCCGCGACCGCTTCCTTAGTGTTCACCCCGCAGACCTCACCCTCACTGACTTTGTCGACACCCTGACTGTGATAGAGACCCGTCACCGCTCCATCGCCCAGGCGAGCGGTGTCGTGCGGGTCCCTATCTTTCAGGGTTGTGCCCCCGCTCAGTGTACCTTCTCCGACGGCTCTGCCGCAGTGGCTGAGACTGCTGCTGCAGCGCAGGCCCGTTCTGGGAAGGGCCGCCGCCCCAAGGCTGGGCGCGGCGGAGGGGGCGGCGGGGGTGCGGGCGGGGGTAGTGGTGGGGTCGGGTCGCCTGGTGCTGGAGCGGACGAGGGGACCCTGCCCAGTCCAGCTGAGTCGCCGCCCCTGCAGTTGCAGCAGCCGCAGCAGCCGCCGCAGTCGCAGCCTTCGCAGCAGCCGCAGCAGCCGTCGCAGACGCGGCAGACGAGTGTTCTCCCGCCAGGGTGGCCCGGCGCTGGCGGTGGACGGGCGCGTGGTGGTGTGCCACGTGGTGGCTCTGCCGGCGGGCGTTGTCAGTACCAGATCCAGACCGGTCCTCGCCGCGGCTTCGTTTGCGGTAAGATCGGTCACTCCACTCCCCGCTGCTTTCGTCGCCTGGACGACCTCTTTCGTCAGCGTTTCGGCCCGTCGCCAGACCTCCCGGACTGGCACAGTTTGCTTAGTCGTCAGATTCAGATCTTTGATATGGACATGGATGCCATTGTTTCTGCTCTGCATGTGATGTATGCTGATGACTCTAGTGTGCTTCCGCCTTATTACTCACTGTTGCCTAGTGTAGGTGTGCCTAGCTTCGCCTCCCCTGCTGCGTCAGGCGTAGGATCCCCTGCTTTGTGTAGTCTTGGTGCTTCTGCCGTCGTTCCGTCGCCAGACCCCTCGGCTTCGCTTTCCTTCACCTTGGACTCTGGCGCCTCTCGGTGTTTCTTCCGCGACTCCACCACCCTGACGCCGCTTCCTGTTCCTGCTGCCGTTTCTCTTGCTGACCCCTCCGGCGGTCCGGTAGTCGCCCGCAGTTCCACCACCCTTCCCTGTCCGGCGGTTCCTTCGGGCTCTCTTACAGGTCTGCATATCCCCTCGTTCTCCAGGAACCTAATTGGTGTCGGCTGCCTCCAGGACCTTGGCGTCACCACTACGTTCCCTGGTCACGAGCGGTATGCTGTCTGTACCGAGGCCGCCACTGGTACCCCCCTGTCCACGTTCCCCCGGGACCCGGTGTCCGGCCTGTTCACTCTGGACACCGTGCCCCCCCCGGCTGGAGCGCCCCCTCAGGTGGCTGTGTCTACCCAGGTTGCTGCTGCCTGCTCCTGTCGCTCCCTCACTCACCCGACCCTCCTGTGGCACCACCGCCTAGGTCACCCTGCGCTCCCGCGTCTGCGTCACATGTCCCAGCACGGTCTTGTCCTTGGTCTCCCAGGTTCACTCCCCGCGTTTCCCTCCTCCCCAGCTCCACCTTGCACGCCTTGTGTCGAGGGTCGGCTTCGCCGTGCCCCTCACTCCTCCTCGTTCCCCCCTACCGCCGCGCCGCTGCAGACCCTGCACCTGGACGTCTGGGGCCCCGCCCCCGTCCCTGGGCCGCGTCGCGAGCGCTACTTCCTTGTGCTTGTCGACGACTTCACTCGTTACACCACAGTCTTTCCCCTGGAGCGCAAGGCCGACGTGCCTGGCGCCCTCATCTCCTGGCTTGTCTCTGCGCGTGTCCACCGCGGTCTCCCTGTCTTGCGTCTTCACTCAGACCGTGGTGGCGAGTTTGCCTCAGGTGTCCTTGGTCGCTTTTGTCGTGCGGAGGGCATCACCCAGACGTTCACCCTACCGGACTCCCCACAGCAGAATGGGGTCGCTGAGCGACGCATCGGCTTGGTCATGGAGGTCGCTCGCACCTCCATGGTCCATGCCGGTGCACCCCATTTTCTGTGGCCGTTCGCTGTGCGCTACGCTTCTCACCAGCTTAACCTGTGGCCGCACCCTCAGCAGCCGCAGGTTTCGCCGACCCGTCTGTGGACTGGGTCTCCTGGTGACGCGTCTGCGTTCCACGTCTGGGGCTGCCTTGCTCACGTCCGTGCCTCCGGCACGGACAAGCTCACTGCCCGCACCCTTCCCTGCGTCTTCCTCGGTTTTCCCCTTGACGCGTCCGACTGGCACTTTTACCACCCGCCGTCTCACCGCTTCTTTCACTCTCGTGACGTCACCTTTGACGAGTCCGTCTCCTACTACCGCCGCTTCCCCCACCGTGGTCCCCCGGTTACCCCCCCCCTGTTCCTGGTCACCCCTTCCCCGGTAGTCCCTGCTCCTCCTCCTCCTCCTCCCCGTCCCGCCCCCTCTGGTGTCTCCCATGTCA